TCACCTTCCCTTGATTGCCTAATGCCCTCAGCCATCAGTGGCTCCATCTCCATCTGAACGGCGTTTGTGCCCTATTCCTCAAGCACACCTGCTTGGGTCCACTTGGATGCAGAATTGCCTCCTGTTACCCAGGATGCTCGCACCCATCCCAGGCGCACCTCAGTCAGGAGCCGCTGCTGCACACACTGCCCCCACTTTCCCACGGCCCATTCACTTCTCAGTACCCTTCTGTCTGGCTCCCACGTCTGCCAGTCCCCTGCCAAATCTGCTCTCGCTGCGCGCAGCACTGCCAAATCCTGGATGCGTCTCCAGCCTCCTCTTGAAAGGCTGCTCAGCAGTGCCCAGACCCTTCGCCAGAAACTCCGTGCCATAGTCTTTGTTTGGCCCCAGGATTTCACGTTCATCTGCTTTCCCTCCCACCCCTCTGGCTGTTCCTTCTCAGCCTCCTCAGGAACTCCCGCTCCTCAGTCAGACCCAGGAGGAAGTCGAGTTAGTGGTGTTTCTCAAGAGGTGGCTTCACCCGTGCTCTTAGTCCGGCAACGTCCACCCTCAACTCCAGACTAGATCTCTTGTAACCCCACCGCACTCGGCAGCCCACAGACATCTCACGCATACGTCAGTGGCGGTTGCATGGCTACCGCTAAGGATCTGCTCAGACTGACCGCCACTCTCCTCTAAAACCCTCTCCTCTCCACCTCTGCACGCACCAGGAAACCTGAGAAACTTTGCTTGACACATGAACTTCAATGGCCAACACCTTTTAAGCCCGTCCCTGTGCTTTAAGCCACCATCTCTCCAGTCAGAGGCCTCAATTTGGATCTCACTGCCTTCATTAGAGGTCTCTGCCTGAAATTCAGTCTGCACCCTCCAGCTTCGGGGTGAGTGGGTGTTTTAAATGCATGACCTTCACTATTTCAGACACTTTCGATAGCTTTTGAGATAAAACCTCCCTCTCGTGGCTCTCCTGGCACTTCGCTGTCTGGGAATGGCCTGACCCACCCCACTGTGGTCTTGGTCACCTTTGCCTTTCCTCACTGAAATTCATTCACTGTACCTCCTCCCAGCCCCCTCAGTGCCAAGCTCCTCCTGCCACAGGGCCTTTGCATGTATTGGCGGCTTTGCTCCCAGCAATTCTTCCACACTTCGGCTGTCATTCCACACCTCCCATTCTCCTTCCTAGCCCAGCCAACCAATCAGATCATCCAAACCAGTCTAACCAGGGTGTCCTAACCCCTCCCTCTTGTCGCTGCTTTCCACGTATAAGCCGTCTTATGCCACACCAGGCTCCCTGCAGACCCTAAACTGAGACCCTCTTGCCCTTCACACTGACTCTCCTGTCCTCAGAACTCTCTCTGCTTATACAGATCTTACTCAGCAAGGCTCACACTCTTCAAAGACCCCCCCCCCCCCCCCGCCCTTCTTCCACCTGCCTGTTACACTTGCCGAGCCCCAAGCCAGATCCTGGGAGTCTCTGTCATCTCCAGATCAGGACTTCCTCCAGGGACTATCAACTGCCCAGCTCCCAGTTTTGACCACAGTTCATATGCCACCTGGTGGCCAGGATGAGCATTGCTTTTTCTCTTCCCCAAGTGTTCTTTCCAGACATGGGTTCCATACACCAGCCCATCCAGTGTTCCTCATGAAAACCCTCAGGAAACACCTTCTAGCCATCCTCTCCTGCCACCGAGAGAAAGCCAAGATTCTGAGAGAGGGAGAGTGGCCAGTCAAGAGATCTGTCGTGAACTTGACGGTGCAGATATATTAAGACTCCAGAGCCCTGTCACAGAGAAGATTAAAGAAGTGGTGGGAATTCGAAGCTCAGAATGAAATTGGTAGGGACCAGGAAGTAACCACAATAAAACCCCTAGGGTGAGATGCATAATTCCCAAAGCCAGTATTTCCACCAAAGCAGACAACATAAGCTTCATTCATTAGGTAAGTACTATTTAGTTACTAACTAGCGTCTACTGCCACCAACCATTAACTAGCAACTAACTTTTCATTAACCACTAATACTCAGCGTTAACAATGATTGACACCAGACTCTAACTGCTAACACTAACTAGCTGCTCACCACTAATTAACCACTACCATTAATATTAACTGAGCTAAAACTAACCATTAACCAACACCACTACAATAACTCTACCAACGGTGCCAACGCCGGCCAGAGAGTTAGTGAAAGGTGTTTCCATGGGAACAGTGCAGGAAATCCATCACATTGTCACTGGCATGGGAGAAAGCTCTAGACCACCTGTGGAGGGAGCCCTCTGTATTTGATGCAAGAGTCTGGAAGAGTCGACTCTGGAAGTCTCTGTTCATTCCGAATCTTCACACCTTCCCTTTTCTGTGTTCATGATGAATTTCATGAAAGAGAGAGAGTTTTACCACAACTTTAAGATAAAGAAGAGGAAGGAGTAGAAGGAACAGAATGAAGAAGAAAATGGAAGAGGAGGAAGAAGGCAGCTTCGCCAAACACAAATTCATAAATAAACACCAGCTAAATATAGGTCAACAAAGAGACTTTCCAAACTTCATGGCATAAAATGAAAAACTCTGCAAATATCCTGCAGCAACATCCCCTAAGCACTGTGGCCGTTTTATACTCCCACCAGGAATGTGTGAGCTCCAGTCTCTCCATATCCTTACCAAGATTTGCTATTTTCTAGTTTCCTTCAGTGCCCCGATTGTCCTAAGAAAGACTCTAGCTCGGTGTGGATTTATCTGCATTTCCCTAGTGACGACTGATTCTGACCACCCTTCCATGAGCTTACTGTCTTTGAATGTTATTTTAAAGCATAAAGACAAGAAGCAATCTGGCAAATGTATTATGACACCAAGACGTTTCTGAAATGCAGAGAAAAACGACTTTCAAGAACCAAGAAAACTTGGGGTGTATGTCTTTGTGTATGAATACAGATGTGTTTTATTTTATTTGTAACCCTTCTGTATGCCCTCAAATGGTGGTGATAGTTGTTAATTACTTATGTGATCTGAGACTCAAGGCAGGAACGGACAGGGACTTTCAGACAGGATCGCACTGATTTTGTCATTTGCCTGCCGCCTTCCAGGGCAGAAGTCTGGTAACGGGACATCGTGGACTTCACACGACTGCTCCACTCTCAGGAACCTTTCTGAATGTGAGAGAGGAAAATGTCATCCCCCACCAGACACACCTGCACACCAGCAGGCTAGCCTTTCTTTCCCAAGTACAGCGAAGGAAGCCTGGATAGGAAAGACAGCCACACAGGATGAGCAGATCCTTCCTACAGTGCAGGATCATATGGCATCTCAGAGTCACAAGCAAAGTCTAGAACAAAGGAAATAGCACCTGGCCATCAGCCCAAGTGGGCAGGGCCTAGAGCAGTGATTCTCAACATTCCTAATGCTGCCACCCTGTAATACAGTCCCTCATGTCACGGTGACCTCCCAACCATAAAATTATTTCCATTGTTGCTTCATAACTGAAATTTTCTTACAAATCATAGTTTGCTACAAATCATAATCTGAATATCTGATATGCAAGACATCTGATATGCAACCCCCGCGAAAGAATAATTTGACCCCTAAGGTGGTCATGACCCACAGGTTGAGAACCGCTGGACTAGACAGATGGAGACATCTGAGCTCTTGAGTAGCAGGAGAAAAAGGAGGAGCGCTGCGTAGTTGGGGCAAGGCTTCCTGCTCAAGGGGGGGGGGGGAGCTGGACTCTGCAGAGCATGGCTGCTCTGGTAGGCCAAGCAGAAGAGGGGCTGTAGGCTGACACAGCACTGTTTATACTTCCTCCCGTCCTCATTAAATCCCCCACCCCACCAGTCAGCAAGCAAGTCCCTGGGGACAGCACCTGCTCTCCTTCCCCTTCCTCCTGCCAAGAAGGAGGGTGGAAGATGATGGAGGGTGAGGCTTTGTGTCATCAAGGAAGCCTGCCCTGAGTGAGAGCAACCGGCGGTAGGCTCGGACACAGACAGACCTACATTAGCATCTGAGTGGGGAAATCCCCCATAAGATCATATGCTTGAACACTTGGTCCCTAGAGAGCACTGTCCAGTGAGGCTGTAGAAACTTCAGAACGAGGCCTTAGTGGAAGGGGTGGAGAATAGGTGGTATGCGGTGCAGCTTGGCCTGATTCTTGCTCTGGCCAGAGCTCCCATCTTCCCGACTGTTGGGGCAATGAAACCAGCTGTCACGACCCAGCTGAACCAGGTGACAGCCATTTCCCTCCAACCATGCTTTCCCACCATGGTGAAGTATACCTAGTCTTAAACCGCGAGCCAAAATAAGTTCTCTTTCCCTTAAGTTGCTTCTTTCTGGTATTTTTTTTTTCATGGTGGTGAAAAACGTATCAAACCCGGGACCCTACCAGGAGAACAAAGGGGAAAGACGCAAAGCTGGGGACTCCCCGCCTCTGAAGAAAAGACAGAGTTGCGCGCAATTTCCAGACCAAGCCCAGACAGCTAACAGACACAAGAAGGGCTGCTCAGGCTCGTTTGATGTGAAGGAAAAGGGACAGCACACTGCCACTTTACACCTGTTTAGCTTGTAAACATTAAAAGGAGGGAGCATGCCAAGCGCTCATGGGGCTGCAGGGATTGCCCAAGGGCAAGGGCTGTTAGGGTGCTGATTCCCAAGCCGGCAATCTGGTACCACCGAATCATATCAAAAGGGGTTGTAACTGCTACCCCAAGGCTGTCTTTCTGATCTGAGTCCCAGAGAAAGGCTTGCCTTACAGTCCTTGGGAGGACAGGCAGATGGGTGCTCATCTAGAGGGAAGGGGCTGGGCAACCCTTGGGCAATGGCATCAGGTGGCGCGGTGCAGTCAAAACAGGGGACCAGATGTACTGATGTACACCCAGTCATGCAGCGGAGTTCCTAAAAGCTCAGTGCTGGGGAAAATGCTAGTGGCAGGATGAGACACATGACGGATAGCATTTATTTAAATTCAAATCCAGACACGTGGCACACTCCACACTAGCAAGACACAAAGAAATGCAAAGATTCACATCTTTGCCTGTAGGGGGAGGGGGATGGGAGTAGGGGTTAGGACAAAAGAGAGAGAGTGCTTTTAAAAAATAAATAAAACATGAGAATTCTCACAGAGACAAATGGCGATAAGGCAGCTGGAGCCAAGGGTTGAGGAATGCCCCGGAAGTACAGTAATAGCTGCTACAAGAGCTGCCCTTCGGAGCCACATTGACTCAACCACGGATCATTCATGTACTAGTTTATTGGTTTCTCTGGGGCTTGGGCAATAGTCCTAGATGGAAGAAAAGAATGGATGGGGGCAGAGACAGGAACTGAGAAAGTCGAACCTAGAGAAAGCAGATGCAGAGAACTCAGCGGCATGGTAGTTTGAGGACAGGGATTGGAGCTCAGCTCCTGGTGATGGCTGGCCTAGCACTCCGAGGTCAGCACCTTCATTCTCGATCGGGGCGGTGTGGTCCACTCAGTGCAGGTCCGACGAGCTGGCAGAAGTTCAGGGTCATGGCCATACCATTTGCGTGAAATCTCCGTCCTCACCTCCACAAACAAAGGAGAGGACCTTAGAAAGATGCCACGGACACTCCTCAGTTCAACCCCAGAAGAGTAAAGGTGCTGCCTCGAGAGATGAGGTAGGAGAAACAAGGCAGGCGAGGGAAGCCTGGGCGTGGGCTTTGCCAAGTACAGCCTCTGGAGGACCCTCTTCCCTCCTTCCTTGGAGTGTTTCTGGCATTTGCCTTTAACACCTCATCTTTCCACACTGCCTGTGTCTGAGGCCAATCAAACACAATGAGTACCTCTGTGCCTCCTGGCCCAATCACCAGGTGGTCCTCTCTGAGTGACTCTGACCCACCCTTGTCTTAAAGTTCAAGTCCTGGGGGAGTGAAGTCAGTGGAGAGAGAAAGCGGGGAAGAGGGAGTGGGGCAGTCTATATCTGTGTCTGGCTGAGACATTCTGCCTGATCGCTAATGGGAGCTATATAAAAGAAAAAGGGAAAAATGGTTCCCAGAACTGCCCCAAAGTAAAAAGGGTAATTAACTGAAAGGAAGTGAGGTATGTCCCTGTTACCAAAAGTATGCGACTACCTCGTGTCTGGCTTTGCTCCCTGTAACAGATCCCCTCATAACTTACTTTCTGTGTGAGCTCCTTTCCCAGATAAACTCACCTCGATGGCTTTGCTCTTGACCCCACGCCCTCCCAAGGCTCCCAGGACTCTTGGGACTGCTATACTCAGATACTATGACCTTTATAAGGCTGAACAAGACTCAGAAACCAGGTTGGGTGCAGTGAGAGTCTCAGAGGGAGAAAATCAGTTAGGGACAGGATGGATGGGAAGAAAGATGAGATGATGCACAGGTTAAAGGAAAGACAGAAGAAAGGAGGAAGAGAAGGAGGAAGGAAGGGATTTCTCAGCAGTAGAGAAATAGGACAGGAGTTGGCCAGACGACCACAGAGCCCATGGCAAACGCAAAGACATCAGGAGGATCGGTGATCCTCGTCATGCACACTGCCAGAGTTCTAGGGGTCTGGACCCAGCTGAATTCTCCCTGCCTCCACACAGCAGGATGTTCACAAAAGAAGAAACCCCAGGGTCTTCGGAGTGACCATCGCTTCCCACCAGCATGCCTTCTTCTATGGTCTCTTACATGCCATGGCCTCTGTTATGTCCACTTGCTTCACCTCTGCCTCCACTCTGGCATCCCAGTCTAGATTCCCTGTCCTCTAGAAGTTTACTGTTTCCTGTTCTGCTCTGGCTCTTCTGGCTTCTGCATCTGATGCTTTACCCCAGTTCCTTCTATATGAACGTCTGACTTTTCTAGGTTTTGGTCTCTGTTCTTTCATTCTCTGTCCATCAACTGATCTACTTTGTCCTCCACCCTTCCTTGATCCCTGAAAGATCTCCTCCATCTCATAAATGGGTAGTAAAACCAATCCCAACTCAAAAGGAAGATGTGTACAAGGCGTTCAGAAAGTATTTAGGTTCAATTTGTCAGGATCAAGACCTACTCCCACAGAGTGTCACAAGAGTGGAGGGTTATGGGAGTTCACCCAGCTGAAATTTACAGGGCCAGGGCAAAAGAAAAGGAGATGAAGAGAAATTCTACTTGTTGAGTAAACGTGAGTCATTGGGAGCACACGTACCTCTTGGTTGAGGAAGCAATAGAGAACAGCAACAATGAAGCCCTGTGGGATCAAAGAGGAAGGAAGGACCTCATAAGAACACTTTCTCTGGCCTTGGAACGTGGCAGTCTTTCTACTGTTTTCTCCCTCACTCATCACTCACAGTGTAGTAGGCATACCAAGTCATGCCTGCCAGGGTTGTATAGATAGCCCCATGGATCTTCATATCTGCATCTGCATTAGTGAGCACACAACCTGATACATGATAGGTACTCGGTAAGACTGAAAAGATTAAATGGATGACTAAGCGAATGGATGGGTGGATGGATGAGTGGGCATATGGGTAAGAGGATGGAAAGACAGATGGATAGTGGGTGAACATAGGGATGGATGAATGGATGGATGGATGGATGGATGCATGGACATATGGGTAAGAGGAAG